AGCCGAACTGTTGAACTCCTCACGGTGGCCGAGCGGCCGTCCCGACCGTCCCGGCGGGGTGGAAATTATTTAATCTTGTTCCTGGGCTCGTCGATACGAGCTTCTGCCCTAATTCCTGCCCCGGGATCACGCCTGGATTTGAGGGGCCGCGGGCAGGGAGCGGCGCGCTCCACACCGGCGCCGAGCGGGTGGAGGTGCCCCCGGACCCGACCGTTTTTGCCGGCTCCTGGTTTAATTCTGCAGTGATTATTGAGCGTGAGCTTAATTTTTTTCCCCTCGGAGGGGGGTTTACGTGCTCCACTGTGTCCGGCCACGTGCTCGAGCGTGCCGCCCCCTTCCCAAGCAGTGCCGGACCCTTCCCAAGCGGTGCCAAACCTGAACCGAAGCCCTTCCGCCACCCCGGGGGTGCCGCGGGGGCTCCCCGTCCCGTCGGCCATCCCTGAGGAGGTGAGCTGCTTTCTTTGCTCTTCGGAGGAAGCGCGGGGCGAGGGCTCAGGTTCCCCGTGGGTTTCTTCTTGCTCCCCCTCGGCGATAAACGCTTTGCCGTACGACCCGGGGGGGCGGGGGGCTTCGGGGTGATGGTGGGAGCTGGTTTTCTGCTTACTGGGGAGCGCCGAGGGCTGTTTTATTCTGCACGACCGCAAAGCTACGGGGCTGTGGCCGCTTTCGGGGCCGGCGGCGAGCGGGGGGTGCTCGGCGCCTCGGCGTGCTCCCCCCCCGCCCCAGCGTCACGGCGTGATGCTCTGCAGCGATGCTGCCGTGTCATCGCCAGCCCTGCTAATCCTGCTGCATAATTGGTAACGAGGGAGAGAGCCGAGCTGGGGGGCGAGCGCCGGAGGGGAAGCCCCTTTTTGGGTGGGTTTCAGCCGGAGGTGAGACGTTTTCCTCTTGAAATCGCTGCCGCGAGCCGTCCGTATCGCGGGGGGCGGCGGGGGGGGATACGAAATCGCAGCCTGGCTCCTTCCAGCCACCGGCTCTGCCTTCGCGCTCCAGCGTCGCCTTCCCGGGAGACGCCGAGCGCTGCAACGGAATAAAATGGGCTCCTTCGGTTATTCCTCGATTATATTTTTCCTGGTTTTATCCTGCGTGCCGTGATCCGGTCTTAAATACGCCCGCTATCAAGCAGGACGGGGTTGGGATGCTTCTCCGATGCCCAGCTGCTGCTTAGCCCGGGGCTCTCTCCCTGTGTATATATATATATTTATTTTCTTCTTTCTTGCATATCATTGCCACCTTCTCCTCATCCGGCTGCTGAAATAATCCCGCGTCCCCGTATTTGACACCTCTGATACCTCGAAACCCCGGGAGGCTTTGTCAGGATCCGCTCTTGGCTCTTGCTTTTGACAGGAAGCTTACTGAAACCGGCCTCCCCCCAAAAATCGATGCTGGAGGGATGCGATTAAAGCAGGTTGTAGAGGGGAGTCAATCCGAGGAGGAAATCCGGAGCATCTCCCACGTTACTCGGTCCTGGAGCCCTTGATCCATGCGGGATTTTTGGGAGCCATCACAAAATCCAGAGGATCACCAAATCTGCAGGATGCTCCGAGGGTCCGGCCTGGTAATTCCTAATTCCTAATTACTCTGAATATCTGGAAATAAAAGCGCTCATCGCTCCAGAATTGCCGTTTCGGTCTCCGCCTGGACAAGCTGCGATGGAGGAGCAGCCCGGCAGCGCGTCCGACGCGGATGGAGGATCATCGGAGGCGATGCCGGAGTCGCGGGAGGCGAAACGAAACTCGTTGGCAGGACCCGGACCGAGGGCGGCGGATCCATCGGCAAACGAGCTTCGGGGACCACGGAGCATCCCTCGCCCAGAGACGTTCCCGCCCTTCCTCCTCTCCCGAAATCTGGGAAGCAGCAAACCAGGAGCATGGCTTTTCTGGCGGCACGGCAGCGTTAATTACTCGTTCATCGGCCTCGGCTGAGCTTCGAGCCGGCAGGTTTTCCCGGTCGGATCTTGGAGCCCCGTGGCTGAAGCGGCTCTGTCTCCGGCGACTCTTTGTGTCCGCGACCACGCGAGTCCCGGCTCTGTCTCCTGAACCTCTCCCCGCTCCCAAAGGCAATTCCAGCAACGGCTGACATGGAAAAAATGAATATTTTTACTTGAGCTCCTTTTGGCGTGGTTTAATAGCGGAAAGGAGGGGAACGGGGGTCGCGTGGCCCCTTCCTCGCAGCTTTTGAGTCAAGTTTTTTCTTTCCCCATCCCAAATCCCCTCCTCGGGGCTTTATCTCCATTTAAAAACCGAACAAAACCTGCAAACGGTTTATTTTCGTTTCCCCCCCCTCCCGCTCTGACTCTTGCCACCGTCGTTAATAGATTTATTGCATCGTTTTTTTTCCCTGGCTGTGTATTTGGTTCAGGAGGTGAGGGAGGAGGAGGGCCTTTCCCTGCGGGATGAGGCCGGGATGAGCAGCCCTGCCGTAGGGAGGACGCCGGCTCTTTCCCCTCTTTCTCCTTAAACCTTCGCTTAAGCCAAACCTCGGCCTCGGGGCCAAAAATCCTCACCCTGCTGCAGAGCAGAGTCCAGCGCGAAGGCGAGGGTCTCCCATCCCGGCTCGGGGCTGGGTCCCGGGGGCTTCTGAGCCGCCGCGCTCGCCTCTGCGCCCCGCCTGTTTTCAAAAGTGGTTTGTTTTGGTTTTTTTTTTTTTCCAAAAAAACAGGTAATTTGAATTAATTTGGCCTTTGCATCACGTGGGGGCAGCTGCCGCCGCGCCGATGGAGGAGGAGGAAGAGGAGGAGGAGGAGGAGGAGGAAGAAGAAGAGGCTGCCCGCGCGGGCAGGGGAGCTTCTACCATGGAGAACTGCGATGAAAACTTCATTTTCCAGCTCATTTTCCCTGCGGCGTCTCCCCAAGCTCCTCGCCGCTCCCGCCTCCGCGTCCTCGGCCCCCGCCGTCCCTCGCGGCAGCACCCCGGGGTGGGTGCCCGCCTTGCCGCCCTTGGCTGCTTTTCCCCCAGCGTGGCGAGTTGGTCCTTTCTAAGAAACGCAATGAATAGGACCCACAGAATCATTTAGGTTGAAGAAGACCCCTAAGACCATCGAGTGCAACATCTCCCGACGGCTCCATCCCGGGAAGGATCCGGGCTCCATCCCCAGCCGGAGTTTGATGCCGCAGGTGGGGGTGTCCACCTGGGCGCCGTCGCTGATTTTCCTCGCTGGAAGCGCCCGAGGGAGAGGGTTTTGAGATGATATTTTGAAGATTTGCTTTGGAGGGAAGGGGAAGAACCACAGAGGCTCTCCTCGGTCGTTATCTCCTTCCTAAACCGAGGCCAACGAAGGCGGCAGCCCAGCCAGGTCCGATCACCAGCGAGCCCCGGCTGAGCCCCCGCGACGAGCATGGCCACGCAGGCAGCACCCACGGGAGCCCGGCCAGGGACCGGGGACCCCCCTGGACACGGAGACGGGGCCGTTTTGGGGCGATGGAGGTGGTAAAATAAGGAGGGGAGGGGCTGGGGACGCGGTGCTGGGCTCAGTGGGGCAGCAACGCTCGAGCAGGGGTTTTCTGCCTCTGCTTTTCCCCTTGGATCGTGCGTGGGATCGGTGGCATTAAATCAGCTCCTTCCTTGGGCTGGCGCTTAGGCTGGCTCAGCAGCTGCTTTTGCCCCCGCCTTTAGCAACAGAATTAAGCGCTTTACCTACAAAAAAATACCCCCAAAAGCCGTATTTAAACCCAAGCCGTGGCACCTGTGGGCTGGGAAATCGCACCCCGCTCGGGGGCTTCACCCCCGGCCCCGGTGCCGCTGCGGCTTCGGCACCGCTGCATCCTTTTTGGGGGAGAAGATGGGCGCCGGCGTTGCCTTTTTGGCTTTAAAGATGCCGGAGGCGATGCAGAGCTCATCCCTGAGCTTGACCCGGGGGCGGGCAGTGCCTCCCGCTGCCCGTTGGCCCCCGAATCGCATCCGAAGACCCTCCGATCCCCTCCCGAGGCCGCGTATCCCGGGGTGCCGCAGGGATGCCGTTGGCTGACATGCTTCTTTTCGAAGCCGGTTGTTCCGTTGCCATGAGAACGGTGGTTGGAGCGGAGGGAACACAAAGCGGAGAGGAGATGGCACAACCGGGTGGGTGCTGGGCTCCCGGGGGGCTTCCCGCTCCAGCCGGGCCCTGGGGACGGGGACGGGGACGTGCCCTGGGCTCGCTTCGAAAGCCGCCGGTGTTGCGATGACCCGAAAGCATCGGGAGGACTAGGAACAACGCTCACTGCTCTTCCCACGGGAGGGTCGGCTCCCAAAAATTCCTCGCCCAAGCTGGAGCCGAGCATTTCCCAGCTTCCCGTGGGCAAGCCGCCTTTTTGGAGCACGTAGGCATTAATGCGGGGGCAGGAAAATGCCGGAGACTCTCCCAGCAAAACGCTAGGAGGGCTTTTGCCCTCCCTACGGCTGGGGTGGAGCCGCCGATCCGGCATCGGCGATGGACGGGTAACCCCCGGCGCGTCCCGAGAGCGTCCCAAGCTGTGAGGTTAGCAGGAGTGCCGAGCCGCCGGCCAAGGTTATTTCACGGGTGAAGCGCGCGGCGCGAGCTCCTTTCTTTATAAAAGCGGCGTCTGCTTTTGCTTGGGGGGAATTTGGTTCCGAATCGGGTTAGAACAGATTTCGGTTGGAAGGGAGCAGCCGTCGCCCTGCCCAAGCGCCTGACCCCGCCGGGGCTGCCCCAAAATTGAAGGATGCCATTAAATAATATTAAACAACGGCACGCAGCTCCCTCCCGCAGACCAGACGCGGGGAGGACGGGCTCTCCTCGGAGAACTGCGGCAGCGCGTCTGGGATCGGAGGCTTTATCCGGGCTGGGGAGGGCAAGGATGGGGAGAGCTGCTCGTAAGAGCCGGGGAAATCTTTCCTGGTTATCCTGAGCGATGCTGGCTTATCCGAAATGCTGTTATGGCTTCTTGCCTTCGCAGGGACGCGGTGAGCTCGCCGGCAGCTCCGGGGGCCGGCGCCGGAGAGCTGGTGGCAAAGAGCCCCCCCCTTGCCACCCGCCAGCTCTCCATGCGAACCGCGGCCAAATGGATGCGATCGCGAGCGCCGGCCTCAAGAGGAAATTTGAGGATGCGGACGTGGGCTCGCCAGGCTCCAACTCAGACGACGAAATCTCCAACAGCGACAGCGCCGATAGCTGCGACAGCGTCAACCCCTCCAGCTCCACCGGCTTCATACGTGAGTGAGCGGGGACGGTCGCCGTCCGTGCTCCCGGCCTCCGAGCGCCTCTGCCATCGAGCACCAGGCGCCTGGACGCGGGGCTGGCTCCCCGCTTCCCCCCCTCCCCCCCGGGTCCCGCGCCCGGGCGCC